CTGTATCACACACACACTCACACACACACACAATCCGCCATTTTTTTCTTGCTCTCGCTGTAAGGTTGTCCCCTCCGTCCACAGTTAGAGAGCTGGACGCCGGCGTCAGTCCCGCCATCTCCATCCATCACCTGGGCAACGTGGGCGCCACCAAGAGCGAGAGAGCCGGCATCAGCAAACTGAAGAGCGACATGAAGATGGTAGGACGCCGCGGCCGTGAGATTAAAACACACTCATTCGCTCAGAGGCGGAATAAAGAGTTTGGTAGTTGGTAGCCTGACACTTTAAAGTCAGCTTTAAAACAGGAGTGAAGGTAAAAAGTTTCGGTGGTAGCTTGACCTCCAGAGGATGGTGAAGAGTTGTCGGAAGCGATAAAGGGAGAGGAGGATTTTGTTTTGAAAATCTTGTGCTTTTATGGCAAACTGACTTCTGTCTTTTCGCAGCTGGAACACAGGTTGTCTTTGACGGATCCGAGTAAGGTGATGAGTGCAGATGTTGAATCCGATTAGGTGGTAATTCACCTGGATAATTGCGGAAGATTTAGATGGGAAATGTGGATAATTATAAATGAATGAATTGATGTTGATGTCGAACATCCTCAGTTTTAAATAAATCACCAGAGCAGCTTGTTGACTTGTGATTTATTTACAACTTTGTTTTGTGTTGCAGGCGGAGCACAGGTTGTCTTTGACGGACCCCTTTAAGGTGATGATCACATGAAGGAATATTAACTTATCAGCAGAATTAAATCTGTTTCTTCTTCATATTTACTGTGAATACATCAGTTATTAGTACATTAAAGTAGTAAGCACAAGATATGCTGTAGGTGTGAATTCACCTTCCATGTAAAAATCACCAATCAGAGTTCATTGAGGGCTTTTTTTTATTCGTAGCTGTCTTAATTTCTGCCAGTTACAAAGGGAAGTTATTCCAGAGCTTTTCACTGAATCACACTGGCTTCATTGTCAGATGGAGTTTGCTCAGTTTTAGACTTTCCATCCATGTTGGACAACAGTTAACAATAAAACAATCTCAAGTCAAAATCTAATTAAATTACTGAAATTAGATTTTCCGGTCCATGATCTAACGTCACACAGCGTTACGGTGGCCCAAAGACAGTTCAGCCCATTCATTAAATAATTGTTTATTAACTAACGACTGCAGTGAAGCTCGGTTAATGTTTACACCTGTTTGTGTGTCTCATTCTACTGAATCCTCCCGTTTACTAACCGAGACAGTAACTGTATCTTACAGGTAGGAACACCAGTCGCTGCTGCCCTCTGGTGGTCGGAAATATTAATAACTAGACACATTAAAATAATATATCTAACAGCTGAGAGCATTAATAATAGAACTGGAGCATTTAAAAGTATATAAAGTAATTGGTAAACTTTTGAGAGAAGTATCTAGTAACAGTAACTATTTTTTACACTAGTTGAACACTAGTCAAGGTTCACTTACTCGCTTTTTTTCGGATGTTTTCAACTTCTCTTCAAGGTCAAAAAACGATTGTGACGCTCACTTTTTAAGCCAACGTGGATGAAAAGTCGAAAGAATTAAGTTGGATCGTTGTTTAGGTCGTCGTTTGGGTCTGAGTAAGCAAGGTTGTTTTGCTGTTTCCGAAAAGTGAAGAATGAGCTCAGCTTCATAACGCTGCTTGTCTTTGTCTTTGTTTTGATCCAGGACCCCAGGTTGTCTTTGACAGAGCCAGTTTCAGAGGAGGTGATGATGATGATGATGATGATGATTTAATTCACCTGGCTGTGGAGCTGTGAATTGAAAACGAATGTTGATGACGACGATTTGACGAGGAAATACGACTTAACGTTTGAACATTTAGCGTTTGAATTCATTGTGTCTTCCTCTGTTGCAGATGGAACGCAGGGTGTCTTTGGCCGACTCAGTTAAGGTGATGATGATGAAGTTCATTAATGAGACTCTGTAAGAAGCGAGGAAGAGTTAGACGCAGTAATTAAGTGTTCATTTTCTATGCAGATGGATGGCAGGTTGTGATGATGATGGTGGTGTCAGTGATTAGCTGATGAAATGACTGGGTTTGTTATTATAGTGGCGTTAATGAACTGAATTAATCACCTTGTTCAGTAAAGTCACATCTTCACTATCACTTATATAAAACAATAATGTTATTTATGAGGAGAAATGGACGTACTGTACTTGGATTTTGGGTACAAACGGGTTCGTAGGGGGTTAAAGTCTGTAATCCAAAGCGGATTTTTTTGTCTCCATTTCAGCTCGACCAGTCAGTGACCTCCTTTCACAAGGTGACGATATTAACGAGCTTTAAACTTGGTTTTCTGAGTGTTAATTCATCTGAAATAATTAACACGCGCCGATCAGATGAGCGATTAACACTGTAATGCTAATTTTCAAATGGAACTTTAATATCTGTAGTTATTAATTATTTATTGTTCGCAGAGCTGCAACTAATTATCGCTTTCAGTATCAATTCTTAATTAACTTATAAAAATAGTCACAAATGCTGTTTTTGTTCATCAGAAATCTCTTAATGAATATTAATGATTTTAATTTAGGTTGAAGAAGAGCTGCATGTGTTTACATTTGAGGAGCTGGAAGTATAGCGCAAGTTTAGTATTTGTGATTGATAAATTATTTAAACTATTATAAAGTTTTCCTGTCGATTGGCCAATTAAATGTTTGATTTAAGATATTTATTGTGAGTTAAGCAGACACAGGTAGAAGGACGCAGGTAGAAAACTAGCCTATAAGCTCTTTGTTGAAGTTCGGTTTAAGTTGCAGAGTTTGGAGTTTCCTGGATGAATTAATCTGTTTTTATTTAATTTTTTTTACCCATTATCTTTTGTTTTCTAACCTCATTTCTAATTGTCTCTTATTTCCAAATCCTGATTTTCATGCTTGCTCATTCTCTAGAAGCCATAACCCGACGGCTTTGGGGTTGTTTGGTTGCCATTCACTGTTTTTATCCGTCTCACACTTCACTTCACTTTGTTGTTTTTTCATTTTGTGCATCCTTTTTGTTTCTCTCCCTCTCCTTTTGTGTTTCTTTTTCTTCCTCTCAGAGCATGCGATCTCAGTCTCTGGACATAGAAAACCTTGAATCTGGGGTAAAGATTTGTCTATTAATCAGATATTTCTGACGTTATACAGCTGTGTGCCTCCAAAACAGGTAGAGGGCGCCGTTCCTCCAGAACAAACGGAGCTTTAAATGCATTTGTTTTTTTGTCGTTGTGGCCGTTCAGAGGTACAGGCTGCCTTCCATAGAATCTCTGGACATTCCGGAGAGCATTCCAGTTGCCAAGGATACAAGGCACGGCCAATGGCTGCGCAGGAGGCGTCTGGACGGAGCGCTGAACAGAGTTCCGGTGGGGTTCTACCAGAAAGTCTGGAAGATCCTGCAGAAGGTCGGTTCTTTTCCACAAATTTTAAAATTTTTGAGCCATACGCCACCAAAAATCACTTCCGTGTTTTTATTTGTGACTCCCAACAGTGTGATTTTATTCCCACTGGAACAAGTAGCCTTAGATTTTGAATAAGTTATACAGAAATGTAATAATAAGTTCATATAGTTTTGCAATTTTCACTTTCTCCTTGCGAAACAATGCCTAAAAACATAATTTTTTAAAGAAAATCTGCTGTGAATTAAGGCATTTTAGGCTGCAACAATCACATAAACAGCTTTTTCACACTGATTATACAATTCTAATTGTTTCTAACGTGAAGTACAAGTACAAAGGCCTGGATTGAAAGTCATAAAAGTGTCGGAAAGTAGATTTTATGTAAAAAACTAATAATTTCTAAACACTACATAAAGTAATGATCATACAAACATGTTGTCTTCTAGTGCCACGGTTTGTCCATAGAAGGGTTCGTCCTCCCTTCTTCAACCACCAGAGAGGTAAGAGATCCACTTCAATAACTGTCCACAGAAATGTTCTTGAAATTGTCTTCTTTTCCCTTTTCCCCTTCTGGTTGTGTTAATCTCACTTTACAAATTAAAGCCATACGCTCGGTTTCACATCAAAACACCCACACAGTAGATGCACAAGGCTAAGAAATTAGGTTACCTTACAGCTGGTCCCATTTTAGAATAGAAATATATCTAAGCAGAGAGAAATTATAGGAACATATTTAAATAATGAATAAGTAGCATGTAAAAATATGTGCATTATACTACAATGTATAACAACTACATATATTAAAAAAGAAAATGTATGTAAAAATATGTATACTACAGTATATAACAATATTAAAATATAGATATAAGACTAAGAATGTACAAATATTTGCATTATACTGCAATATATAACAATATATACATAGAAAATATGTAAAATATGTTTGTATATTATATACAACAGCAGTGTAATTAATAAATAAATAAT